TAGAGACGGGGTTTCACCATGTTGACCAGGATGGTCTCGATCTCTTGACCTCGTGATCCACCCGCCTCGGCCTCCCACAGTGCTGGGATTACAGGCTTGAGCCACCGCGCCCGGCCTTACTTCCCATTTTTCTAAAAATAGAATAAGTAGATCCTTATTGTAGATTGGCAGTTGACTGAGGAAAAACTAACTTAGGAAACGATATTATTATTTTTAGACACTGGTAGTGGAGAGATTGTTCGATTTAATGTTCCTTGGCAAAATACTAGTCCTAACTACCAAGCTGTGGCTCTTTAAAACTAAAAAGGAAAAAAAGGAGTAAAGCTACAAATCTAAAGAAAAAAACGGCTTATTGTTGAAAATTCATAAATCTTTTTTATCCAACTTAAAATTCTCTAACCCATAGGTGACAAGAAAGCAGGATCATATGAAGTATCTTTAAGAGACCCACATTAAAAATAAAATGGAACCAAGATATCAAGTTCTTTCTCAACATGAAAACAGTTACTTTGTTTATACCCATTCTTATCTAAGATCTTAGGCCATGAATGTTATAAAAACCACTAACCAAAAGTGCACCTACCAGGTTAGAGTCAATCTTGTTTGCAATCAGGGAGGCATTGTGAGTAGCTGGGATGGATTTTTTTTTTTTGACCCTGAACAAACAGACTGAGCATTACAGAATGCTTGTATTATATACTTACTGGTTCACTCAAGAGTGGGTTGGACATTCCTGGTGGCCTGTGAGATCAAGAGGCTTATATTTCTGTGTTTTCTCAGGGTCTAGTGCAAAGCTCTATACTTGGTAGGCAGGTGAATGATGATAAACCTCAACTGTGTCACTTTCCTTCAAGAAGAGCCCCTCTGTATCACAGATACTGTGACTGCAATGGCACAACCCTCTTCCTGTCTCTTTATTTAACCATCACAGGACTATCTCAGGACATGCCCAACTTGTAGTTAGACTTAGCCTCTACCTTTCCCATGATGTCATACCATTTGCACAGGGACTTATCCCTCTAATTCATTTTTATACTAGTAAAGAGAATAGGACTATTTGTGAGTTGAAAAGTAACTAAGTAGGGTTTCAAAATGTCATTGTTGCCTGGATATGTATTTGGAGTTGCTTTGAAACTGTCCTTTTCAATGCAAAACACAAAGCCAAAATTGTTGTTGGTTTCCTCTGTGTAGAAGATTAAATTACATACCACCTCTAAAAGGTAGAACTTTTCTGAATAACCAACTTGGTTTCCATCTCCAATATAATTAATTTCCATCCAATTCAATTTGGGACTGTTTGTTGTCATCAGTCACAAGCTCTTCACTGTGCATTCACTGCACACTCAACGCTGTGCTAAGTGCTCTTAGCCATTGAGACGTGCACTATTGACTGCTGAATCATTTAGGCAGAGGGGGTGACTTGTTAAGAGGCATACACGCAAGATGCTGGGGAAGACAGCTGAAAAGGAGTTTAAACAATGGAGAACTATACAAGTTCACCTTTGAATGTGTAAAAAAAAAAGATATATGGAAAGTTTTAGTTGGGAAATATAAAAGAACGAGACAGCTGAAGAGGATTCTGAAGGGTATAATACATAGATGAGAAGCACCAGGAAAGCTTCAAATCATTTTCAGTGGGGCATCAGGTGGGTTGATGCTATTCCGTTTCCACCCTGTGTTCTCTTTTTCAAGATCACTCTTATTCAAGACTGTAAAGATCCCCTTGAATTAATAGAAGCAGAGCTGACTGAAGAAGAGCTTGATGTCCAGGATGAGGTATGATCATTTTCTTCTGAAGAAAATAATTTTGATTACATTTTGAATAATTAGCGTGATACAGATAGTGACGATATCTGATTAAGAACTGTCAGGGAAAATAATTCCCCCAAATGCAAAAAAGGTGGCTTCGTAGAAGGGAAAAATAGAAAATAAGAGTTCTCCTTTGAAGACGTTAAGTACTTGGGGACCTTTTGTCCCAGGCATTTGGGGATGATCAGTGACTAGCAAGATCCAACACGCTGCTCCTGATTTGATACCTACACCTCCGCATACTGCTATTCCAGAGACTACGGCCATGGGGTAGGAAAAAGACGAATAGAGGAAATTTCTGAGCCAGGAACTTCATAAGCCTCAGGAATAGTATGTGAGAAGCAGAAACCCCTATGACCTTCCTTCATGTGACTGATAACGGTTTTAAAAACACACTCCGCTACCCTAGACTGATTCTGTGTATTTCAGATGCTCTTGTGGCATCAGACTGTTCCTAGGAAACTTGCCTGAACTTGTAGCTTTCCTTCAAGAAGAGCCCCTCTGTATCACAAAATTGACTCAAAATCTGAGTCAATTTTGCAGCTTCACTACTGAGTAAGAGGTGAACACTGAAGGAAGATCCTAAAATTGTAAAAAGTCAAAAGATTTCTTAGAATCAAGCAGTCTAACATTCTAGCCCATGCAGAAATCCTTCCTACTCCATCCTTGGTGAATGTTAATTCAGCTTTTATATGAATATTTCCAGACATTGGTCACTAGTGGCTTCTCAAGGGACTTTGTTACCTGGTTGGAAATCTCTGAATGTTAGTTGTGCTTACAAAACTGCATTTGGCCCTTCTGTAGTAACCACCCAGTGAATTGAGATCTGCTTTCCTTAGCAACGCAAACCTTTCCACTGGACAGCCCTTCAAATATTTGAGAATAGTTCTCATGTCTCCAGCAGACTTTCTTCCAGTTGAGACTCCCCTAATTCCTTCTGTTCCTCACAAACATGCAGCCAATGCTCCTCTGATCATGATGGGGACACAAAACCCTAAATGTAGTCAGGGCAGCATGGAGATTATTCAACGGTGACCTACCTTGATTTCATCAAGTTATTCCTATTACTGCAACTTAAAAATGTGTTTCTGCCAGCCAGGTGCAGTGGCTCATGCCTATAATCCCAGCACTTTAGGAGGCCGAGGCGGGTGGTTCACGAGGTCAAGAGATCGAGACCATCCTGGTCAACATGGTGAAACCCCATCTCTACTAAAAATACAAAAAATTAGCTAGGCATGGTGGTGCGCGACTGTAGTCCCAGCTACTCGGGAGGCTGAGGCAGGAAAACTGCTTGAACCCAGGAGGTGGAGGTTGCGGTGAGCC